ACTCTGCAGATCCCAGGAAGTAGTAGGGATCATGGTCAAGGCAGCAGTGACTGTAACAGGTATTACCATCAAAATGACAAAAGAAGTGTAATGCTGAAGGTACCCAGCAAGGAAACAACCCAGGGTCTCAAAGGACAAGGAAACCAGCTTGTGGTGTTTGACTGTAACTGCTGGTTGCTGGAGCCTCACACATTCTCATGGCAACACAGGTCCTTTGGGAGGAAAATGGCAGTGCCAAGGCAAGAACCAAACCGACTCACGTGCGCAGGGCTGTGTTCCACCTCCCCGAGAGGAAATACTCCACCAGCTGGGGCAGGCTGCACAGGCACTGCAAAACCGCGTTCATGTAGCACGTGTTCTCCAGGTTCTGCAGGCCAGTGAGCCCTGGGTGACGGCTGCTCGTGTCCTCCATCTCTTCCTTGTGGGAATACTTCCATTTCCAAGCCATCCTTCCACCTACTAGGAAAAAAAAAAATCCACAGCACTGGAAATCTAAAATGCTACAGTGTTTTTTGTGTTATGGTCTTTAAAATGCCTCTTCAGGAGGTATTTCCTGCTGTTTCAGGATCTTTATAAACTACATACACATTTACTTTCATTGGGCTAATACAGTGGTGAAGACTCTCCATCTGCCACACTAGGCTCTTCCCAAGATGGTGAGATACATCATTAAGAGCTATTATTTAAATACCTGAGGTTTTAGAGCTATTCCTAAAATTCCATTCAGTCTTTGACTTCATGTCCAATTACTCAAAATAGCTACCTTAAGCATTTCACCCTAAAGAATGCATATTATATTTCATTTCTTCTGAGGTGTGGTACTTAATATATTTTCTAAAACCATAGGTTGCAGTCCAGATGCTACTAATAACAGGTTGTTCTTTAGATTTTTGCTATGTTACTTATGTTAAGAAAATTCTAGTAGGTTTTTTTCTTGCTGCATGACTCTGTCCTGGACGAAACTGTCCCCCAACCCCCATCAGGCAACAGAGAAGCTGAACACAAACACTACACCACCCAGAGGTGCTCACCAATGTTACTGTTCTTGAATTTTTAGAGGCTGATATTCTATTCTGAGGCAGGGCAGAGAACTTAGAAACCGCAGCAATCTCTGTAGAACAAGCCAAGCAATGCCCCAGGTGTTGTGTCCCGTGTTCCATCCTGTCACCCGAGCTATTCCTGCCCCATTCCCTTTGTGATGTCACTTGGTTACGTTGGTCCTCAGGCAGGGGAACGTGCCTGGCCCAACCTGCCTCCATCTCCTCCCTATGTGCCACCCAGAACAGAAAACCTTGGGAAGAGAGGGGCACCCACCCTTGCACTGAGCAGGGAGCTTCAGCCTGACCCATGTTTATCCATGTCTGCTCATATGCTCTGGTGGAAGGGCAGTGATGATAGTGTTGACCATAAAAAGATACAACTACCTCAAAACATCATGCTTAATTAGTCTATTTGTGTTATGAAGATTTTCCTGGGGAAAAGTAAAAAAAGGGCAGAGAAGTGGCTTTTATTTAGCTAATAAGACAGTGTAGTTAATCTCTGAATGCCATACACATGGCATTCACATGGCAAGAGCAGCAGGCTTTCCCTATTTAACATAAAATTAGGGAAGTAACAAGTATTCTCAGAAGAGGCCCAGGAAACCATTTTTAAAAATCCCTAATTATTTTACTTGTTAAACTTCAAGCAAAGGATGTCTCCCAGCACTCTTGGGACAGCTGTCACTGCTGTTAATCTCCCAAATTGGTTACCTGCAAACTGAGACACAAAAGCAACACCCCCACACAAACTCCTGAAAATCTGATCTACATTTTTGTAAATGGAACTGGATATGCTTATTCCTACTTTTTGTGGAATCTGAATCAAGACTTTCACTATTGTAATGTAACATGATACCCAAATTCACATAGGTGCTACCTACTGCAAGTTCTGGGGCTGAGAATTAACTTACCATTACTTTCACCACAAAATGCATTACTTGCAAGGTAAAGTGTTAATTGTAAAAAGAAATATTAAATTATCAGAATTTTTTTAAGAAGCATTGTTACATGTAACATTCCATATGAACTATTACTACCAGTTTTTCAGTTGTAGTCTAGTCTTTTCCCCTCTCCAAAGTCCTGCAGTGTTAAGTGTTACGGCATTAAGTGAGATGCAAACAGAAAGAATTAAAGTATAGGAAACCACTGTCACAGGCTTAAAAAACAAACCTCTCCTTTTCCAAATCACACAGCTGCTGAGCAGCAGCTAGAAAAGCAGCTCCCTCAGAAGCTGTGTATTTTGTCACAACATATTTGGGATTGGTTTTCTCTGAAATGTTTCGGCACCTAAATAATGCAAGAAAGCAGTCAACAATGCTGAATTGGGTGGATTAAATAATTAAATTAGGTAGCTTACTTACTTCCCTGTGTGAGACATACTCTTTAAATACCCTTGTAATAGGAATGTCACTGAGGCATTTTAGATTTTCATTAAAAAATAGAGAAGGTGTGAATTATATTCCTGTATTTAAAAACCAGGTTCTAAGAAGATACGCTAATACTTTGTTCTTGCATATTACCAGAAGTTCCAGTGCTGCTTCTACTTTCCTTCTCTCTGGTAATCTGATGGAAATTTAAATGCTAAAGGATCACAACTCCTCTCTATTCATAGAGCACTCCCAAACTGATGAGGTTTCAACAGAGAAGTGACACTTGATGTTCTCAAACAAATTAAATTGCCTGCTCCTACTGCCCAACGCCAGCAGGATGTGGCACTATCCAAACAGTGTCAGGCTACTTCTTCAGACCAACTCGTTTTTTTCTTTGCCACCACGCTTTTCCAGTGCTTTCCCTGAAGGACACTTGACATTTCTTATTTTTTTCTGCTAGTGTGTAGCAGGTCACTTCTGAAAGTTATACATTTCTCCCCCCCTCAATTTAGACAAACGCTTCTCATTGTAATTCCAGCTGTAAGTCAAACAGAGTTAAGCCAGTGCTCATGCCAGGGAGATGGACAGAAATATGAACAGTGTTAACTTCTCCAAGGCTTACAGGAATTTCCCAACCATGTTTTTTCCTTTTGGTTTTCAAAAAGCTTCAGATCTGAGTCACTGCAACACTGAGCAGACAGAACACTCCCCCCAGTCACTCACACCCATCACACAGTCACATCTGTTTATTTTGCTAAGAAATTAGTCACATGCAAAACTCCTGAAGACCAGTAACATGGCTGTAAAAGCTGTGTCTGTCAGGAAACAAAAACTTTCCCAACTTTTACTTCCGATTTTCTCAAAATGGTTTTCCTATTTCATACAATGAATTTGGTTGCATTTTCAAAATTACAGAGGCTCCTCCAGGAATCTTTCTCAATTTGCACAATCAGTCACACATCCAGACTAGCTGTTGCTGTTACCTGGCATTAAAAAAGTGTAAATACACCTTGAATATCTGCCCAGGAGATACAGCCAGACATCTAAGAAGCAGCTCCTAACTAAACATTGTAGAGTTATTTTTGTCTCATTTGCTCATTAATCCCCTCACATGTGTTTGTCTATGACAGCTTTCACTTTTTTACCTCCCTAGTTTCTGGAGTTGGCCAAAGTTGCGGTACCTCAAAGGCGAACAACTGCTTTGATCCAGCATGGCAAAGTCTACTTTTCCACATAAAGAGTTACTTAAATTCACCAAAATAACCTTTCAGACTGAGATGGACAGCAGAAGTCTGTAAACAAGAATAAATTTATTTTAGATTCTTTAAAGATTTAATGATATACAAAATGTATACAGTATTATATCCTTATAACATTTTACCTTTCCCCATCAAACATAAAACACCATTTAAACAGCTATTGTGTTCGTGCCTTAGGTCTGTATCTATAAGATACACTACTCAATAAAAAATTTATAGAGCTATATACTGCCCTTTTAATTAAAAATTACAAATTAGTACCTATGTAACAAAAAAAAAAAAATCGCAGCATGAAACTTCAGTTGGACAACAGTTTTTTCTTGCTGAATGCTCAACAATATTTGGGACAGTTAAATTACATTTTATTGGCATGAAGGTGCATTGCAATCTCCCGTACTTTACACAATGCTAATCCAACCCTAGTCTCTCTTAAGTAAGTACCACAAATAACGTAACATTAAGGATGTTTTCTACACAATTTTAAATACATTTACAAGTTATGTGTACATTCGGTTTCGATATACTGGTTTTACGAGATCTTTGGAAGGCAGAGCTTCTGAAGCAGTCACTACGTACGGACGAGGAAAAGCACTTCCAACTTGTGTTCTTACAAGGCAACTTATTTGGACCAGCACATACTAATTCTTCTATTAAATATGATTATACCAGTCTATCATGGCTTTGTTACTATTTGACAGTGACTTGATAAAATTGAAATGTGTAAAACAAGAAATTTTTATTATGCACAATTAGGGCTCTATTCCACAAAACAACCAAGCCCAGCTTTACAGTCATGAAGCTGCATGAATCCTGATTCAGGAGACTCTCTCTCTTTTGGAACAGATCAAGTTCCTACCTTCAACTTCATTCTGTTGGCATCCTATATACACCTCATTTGGTTCTGTCCTCTTCAAAAGGCCAGATTAAAAGACACCTGGTGAGGAAACATTAGTGGAACACTTCCGAAAACACTCTAAGAATACTCTGGCATTACAGAGGTAGGTGCTTTCTCCTGGTTTTGCTCATTGACAGTAAGACAAATGCCAAAAAGACAAATGCTTTACCTTAAAACATCAACTACTAAAATCCTTTTGGTGGAAGGCATATTTCCCACCAGAGGACTACAGAAGGAAAATCCTCCACTAAACCAAAATAAAATAAAAAATAAAACTTTCTGTTTAAAAAGCCCCTTTAAAAACACATCTTAAATACTTCTCATTATTCCACCTTTAGAATGATCAGCTGCCACGCTGCTCTGTAGATGGTTATCACAAGTTGTAAGGTCCTTAGATTATGGACCAGCCAAAATCCCACTTATGAGACAGTAATCCTTCTTTTGACATGTCTTTCTTTTAATTATAGTGAAGGACAGGTAAGTGACAACTTTGTGATGTTCCATGAAGTTTGAGTGGAGCCATGGATTTGGTCACATCATTAGAGCATCAGACGAATAGAACCAGCTGAATCGGATTCTTTGGTGCAGCTTCCAGGCTGAATTGTCAATTCAGGGGAATCATCCTGAGGAAATATCATCTTGTCAGGTGTGTAATCGTTCCTCTTCAGATCTGTACAAACAGAATGAAGTCATAATGATTACTATTTCTTGAGCTAGTAGAATCAGTGGGGCATAAAAGTCTAGCAAAGAATTGGGTATGCAAATGTAAAGAAGAATTCCTAGATATGTAGTGTCAAAAAAGGGATGCTTTTATCATACATGTAATCAGAAACCCAAAGTCAAATTACAAAACCACTGTTTATTACTTATTCCACCTCCACAGCATGACTTAACTATTTCATTATGTACCATACAACATCTCATAACATAAATGTCTCAGAAGAAGAAATACAGCAGCTCTTACCAGGAAGTTTGAGTTTCCTGCAGCAGGAATTGCAGTGGTGCTTTGCTCTGAAGTTTTTTATTGCATCCTCTCCCAAATTGGCCGGACCAAACACCATATCATGAGACCTGAGAAATAAAGTGATCATAAACATTGGTTGCATATGTTCTCTGTCTAGTGAAAATTTTATAATACTTTAAATCTTTCTTTAACCTTACCTTTTTTCTCCAGCTTTTATCACAGAGGGATCTGTCAAATTTTCACCAACACCTTCAGGGAGAACATGAAGAAAAAGTTAAATCTGACACATTTCTGATTACATAAACACATTAATATTGATAAGCATTGGAATCCTTAGCTATGACTTCTCAGCTTCCCCAAGAATAAAAGCAGAAAAAAATCCCCAACAAACACAACCCAAACTATGTGATTCTCTATCCTTACAAAATTGCTCCTAAATGAGCACTTTGTACTTCTCAGATTTCTTTCACTTATTTTTACATCTGCCTGCAATTCCTAAACTGAGTTTTTACCTGTGAGAAAATTTCCCTATATAGCCAGAATACCTGGCACACAGTTCAGAATAAATACAGCTTACCATATTGGCACTGCACAAATGCACCAAAAAAATAGAATTTTTTTAGCACATTTCATTAGGAAAATATGTATATATTTCTATTCTCTGTGTTGCTGTAAGATTTAATGGTATATTAAGAGCAACAAAGCTGGTGAAAGGTCTGGAGCACAAGTCCTGTGAGGAGCAGTTGAGGGAGCTGGGGCTGGAGGAGGCCCAGGGGGACCTTATCATTATCTACAACTCCCTGAAAGGAGGGTGTAGCCAGATGGGGGTTCCTCTCAAGCGATAGGACAAGAGGAAATGGCCTCAGGTTGCACCAGCGGGAGGTTTAGATTGGACATGAGGTAAACTTTCTTCACTAAAAAGGTTGCCAAGCACTGGAACAGGCTGCCCAGGAAGTGGTGGAGTTACCATCCCCGGAGGGATTTAAAAGATCTGTAGGTGTGGCACTTGGAGACATGGATTAGTGGTGGACTTGGCAGTGCTGGCTTAACAGTTGGACTCAATGATCTTAGAGGTCCTTTCCAATCTAAATGATTCTGTGATTAAATAAGAAAACCACAGATTCAAACTAATTAGGCCAAGAAGAACTAAATAATGCTTGTTATTCATTACAGGCATACGAATTCTTAACAAAATGCTATCAAGAGAAAAATTCACACACATCTATCTTGGCCCCAATCCCAATTTCAAAATAAGGACATTACCTTGCAGATCTAGCACCAACAATTCTCCTCTTGTATATTCATATGTCCAATGGCTGAAAGCCAGCATAACCTCCTCCAGCATGTTAGTTGGGATTATTTCATCACCATTATTGTTGTTATATTTTCTAAACTCTCCGGTCATGCACTCCTCAACTGCAAACCACTGGCCAGCAGAGTGGCAATATAACAGGAAAACTTCCAAGAACCTAGTAAAAAACATACTTAATGAATATATTTCCAAGATAAGTGACAAATATATTATTACTATTAGATTTTTATTTGATTTATTAATAATTTAAATAATTATAAACTATTATACAAAGCCATTTAGGTTATCACACTAGGTTAGAATCAGTGCAATAAGTGTCAATGGAAAATATTACCAAGGATAATTCTGCCTGACATATTCACAGTAATATTCCAAGACATACATCCACATATCAGTACCTTAATATAGTTGAAGCATCTGTTAACAACCCTGTAGGCAACCTCCTGTGTCAAAAGCATGCACCATAATGGCAGTTCAAATACTCACCTTGGAGAGTATGGGATGGATTTGGGCTTCATTTGATTGAATGCAAAGGTGAGCTTCTGTGCCGCTCTCTGCTGCTGGATTTCCTACAAATCAAACCCTTCATTAGCTGCATTGCAGAGCAGGGAACAGTGAAGAGCCAAGCAGGCACTGGGAACAGTGTCCATTCCCCCAAGACAGCATAACAGATTACTTGCTTTTTAAATTATGTCTATGTTTTAAGAGTTTGAGCTCTTTGATTAAGTAAGCCTGGAGTGGAGTTTTTAACCCTTTAGATTCACACAGAACCCCAGACTAGCCATTTTTTTCCTTTGTGTAGTAAGTATATACTAGTTCTTGGGTGGGAAAATTACTTCTCTTTAACATATAATATGTGTCTATGTATAATAATTGACAAAGATAAAACTTACTCTCAAGCACAAGTGTAGCACAGTGTCCTCTTTGTAAATGCTTGACCAAGTATTCACAACTTCAGGAAGAAAAGACTTGATGATATAAAGATGCCCTGACTTCAGGATATCATATTCTGACCACGTGCACACTACTTTAAGAGCTCGACGTAAACCTCCTCCCATCTCCTCCTTACTTAAAAATTCAATTTTAGCACAGAGTCCTAGCTGTGACCAGGAGGACATGCTGTTGTTCAAGATGCTGGGAGAACTTTCTTCAAGGCGATACACAGTGACTGGTTCACCTGCATTACAACACGAAAAGAAATTACTGCATTGAATTTTCCAAGTTTAAATTTAAAAGCACTGAAAACCTACTGTCTTTTAGATTACAACATGCTGCAATATTAAGTCATTACTATCATCCTGAATTAACAAAAATTTTTAACCACCCAGTAGGAAGACCCCTCTCCAACTTTTTTCACACAGCTGCAGAACAGTACAGCAGCTTTGTCCTCTTAATTAGAACTATTTATGACACTGTTCAAGCACTGAATAAATGTTAGTTTATATTTTATACGAGTCAAGACAACTTAAAGGAATCCTTCCAAAATTTGTTTGTAATAAAACTGTTAGCACAATACTACCATCACTGTATTACCATTTCTAAGGACAACCATAATTAAATCTACATTTCATAATCAAGTGAGTTGCCCTAGAAAAGGTGTCATAAGTATTTTGGAGTGTTCTAACACAGAGACTAGATTTCTTTTAGCTTATTACGACTTCAGTTTCACACTTGCTGTGAGCAAGTGTGAACTTTGCCTTGATAATTCTGTATTAGAAAGATCAAGCCAAATTAGAGTCTATATAAGGTTTGCTTTTATTTTCTTCCAAAGCGAACCAGCAACAGGAAATAAAATTCTTACCTCTTGGAGGCACAGGAGTGAATGGAATGCTCTGTGATAATCTCATCAAGTTATTTCTTTCTACAGCTGGAGGAAAAATACAGCATTTGTTGAAGTTTAGGGATCTAATAAGCATCAGTAAAAATACAAACATTAGTTCACAAGAGTGACTGACCTGAGTAATAGTAATTGATATCCATGATAGGCTTGAAAGGAGAAGCAATGCCTGAAAAGAGATTAAGGGGGGAAAAAAAGAAGATACTGCTTGCTACCTGTATTATGTACTAAAATATCACATGCAAAGAACACTTGCCAAATAAAGAGAGTCTGAAAAAGATCTGCTGTGCAGAAAATTAAGTATTGCACTTAGCTCTTCAGTACTTTGGGGGGAAAAAAATAAAAATTGTAGTGCTTAATGATAGGCTGTTTGTTAAAATAAAAATCACAGTATTGTGTGTCCATTAAATTCTAAATTACCAGTAATTAAATATATTCTTATACAAGACCCAAACAGTTGTTTATATGAAAAGATCTCACCATGTTTACAAGAGAAAGAAAACTTACCATTCAATGCATCTTCTTCTGATGGCCTGTGAAATGTCACAAAACCAACAGTTATTGCTTCTTCAAAACTTACTTTGTATTCCCTGATATTGACACATTATCCTAGGTCACCTTATTAACCCCACAGTACTGCTTTTATCCTATTTTTCAAGGGCAGTACAAGTTTTCTTAATTACAAAACAGGAATGGAAAGCTGTTAAGTAATCTCATGTTTTTAGAGCTACACTTTAAATACCACCAAGTCACGTACAACATTATGTAAAGTTTGCATCACAAGAGCTCGTTCCCACAGAGGTGCTTTAATTAAAACTTGTTCACAACAGCTTACCCTTCTGTTATCAGATAAATAAGGTAATGGCTTTAACAGTTAACTCAGGGGATAATTGTTAACAAGAGCAATGACTGCACAATTTCAGAGGTGGTTACAGTTTGAAAGGTTGAGTAAAGAGGTGAGCTCCTCACTAAGTGTCAACAAAGTCATTTTCATTTAGGGACATGTTTTGCCCTCTGACATGTGATGCCATTAATCTAAATGGAACTTGTGAAAGGATGGTGAGAAGTCCAACATGACCTGTCCATGTGCACCTGTAGCCCAGGAAACCAACCAAATCCTGGCCTGCACCCCGAGAAGTGTGACCAGCTGGTTGAGGGAGGTGACTCTGCCCCTCTACTCTCATGAGACTCCAGATGAAGGACTGTGTCCAGATCTGGGGTCTCCAACATAAGAAGGGTATGGATTTGTTGGAGCCAGTGCAGCGGAGGCCACAAAGATGCTCCAAGGGCTGGAGCATTTCTGCTACAGAAACAGGCTGGGAGAGTTGGGGTTTTCAGCCTGGAGAAGAGGCAGCTCCACAGAGACCTTACAGCAGCTTAAAGGGGCTACAAGAGAGCTGGAGAGGGACATTCTACAATGGCATGTAGTGACAAAACAATGGGTAATGAATTTAAATTGAAAGAGGGCAAACTTAGATCACATTAAGAAGAAATTCTGCACTATGAGCATGGTGAGACACTGGCACAGGTTGCCCTGAGAAGTTGTGGGTGCCCCATCCCTGGAGTGTTCAAGATCAGGTTGGACGGGCCTTTGATGAACCCAGTCTAGTGAAAGGTGTCCCTGCACACAGCAGAGAGGTTGGAACTAGATGATCCTTAAGGTCCCTTCCAAACCAAACCATCCAAACCATCCTTTTTTGATCCTATGATTTCAGTGAACACTGAAATTTGGTTATTTATTAGAAAAAGAATTTAAACCTTGAGTTGTTTCCTTTTTTTCCATTAAATTCAATTAAAATACCTCTATAATCAAAAGATAATCAACAAGAAAACTAAAAATAGAGAGTGACTAAAAAATTGTTCCATTAGTAGAAAGCTTACTTACATTTGACTGCTATTTGAAGGTCTACCTTGTAGCCAATCCTTTAAAACAAAGGAGAGGAAAAACAAAGAGGGCTTCAGTTTTGTAAGGAAAACATAGTATATTTAATTGGAGGTGGGGTGGTAATGTGTTTTCAGATTTTGCAGAACAGCCTGTTTATCAGAAATACTTCACCAGGTTGTACTGAACTTCAGCTGAATGGAAAGACTCAGATACAACAGAGAAATGGTAACTACAATTAAAACGGATAAGGCTATAAATTCATTACTGTTTCATGGATTATATAAATAATTATTTTCTTTAAAAGTTGTGGTTTTTTCTATAAACAGGATAGATTTTCATAGTGAGAACATACATAACTTCTTCCCTTAGTCAAAACAGGTCTCCTGTTGCCTCCTAGAACAACTGAGTCCACAAATTAGAATTATTCTTTACACTGTTTGTTCTCCTTTATTTGTTCAGTTTGTAGTTCTGCTCAACAATGTCACCAAAGGTCAATACAAACCGGCAGTAAGGCTGCCTTGGAGTCCACTTGCTGAGTGTCATCACTCGATGCTCTTCTGCTGTTGCTGTAAACTACAAATGAAAGAGATTTGTAACTGGACAAAGAACAGCACGTGTCATTGCTACCTACTTCCTAATAACGTGGCTCTCATAACAAGAGCCTGATCCACAGCTATCTGATCTTTAAAAAAAGGTTTTCAGCACAGTCCTAACTGGATCACTTAGCTTTTTATGACTCTTGCTGTCTGTGGCAAATACAAGGTAACAGAATTGAGCTGGCATGACCTGAAGAACCATAAGAAGCTGGAGGAACAGATTCAAGTAGCAGCAACTATGAAAATATTTAAAGATGTTTCAACTTCTTGTGTTTCCTTTGTACCTTCTTAGAATATCCATTAGCAACACAATTTAGGGACAAAATTAGATCACCTGAAGAGACAACAAACTTACGTTGCTCTGAATGGACTGCCAGAGGGTCAGTAAACCCACCACAGGAACTGGATTGTCTTAGACCAGAGTCAGTTTGAAGACCCTACCAAAAAAAAAAAAAAAAAAAGAAAAAAAAAAAGAAAATAAGATGACATTTGCCATTAGTCATCATTATCATTACTGCTTTCAACTACCACTCTTGGCAGACAATCTGCCCAGTTTTCTTTTTTAGGACTATCTAGGATTCTTTCTTTTTTGAAAAAATTCTGGATGTACCTCAAATACCTTGCTGGACAAAATGTACAGATTGAGCACATAATTCAGTTAAAATGCTCCTCACCGTAACCATCGGCTCTAACATTTTCAGGCACACATTATGACTCCTGACCCACACCAAAAGAGTTCTTTACAAGGGAACATTACAATAGGATACAACTACAGAAATGCACTTTACACTGGATCTTTACAAGTACGAAATTCAGCTACTTCAGCACATGTCTTTGTTGGTTATCAAGAACGTGGCTCTGGGAGAAAAAGTTCAGTTTGCACCCACTTAAAATAGGAACAAAATGTAGGAAACTCTTGCCACATAAAAACCTATAGGTTATGAATGGAATTTCCTCATGGACATATTCCTTAATAGTAATTACATATTCTTGGAATATATACTGAGTGGTGGACTTTTGACAACAAAATCTTTCTTTTGCAAAAAAGGAGAAAGGCAGTTTCATCACAAACTTGGACTATTATGTAGAGTGGTGTAGGGCTGGACCAGTGTATTAATTCCAACGGTTACTTGAATAAAATGTAAGAATTCACTATGCCCTGCTTTTGATTCCAAGATCTATAACAGTTAGGAAATTGTTACCACCCTTTTTGACCCTTCCCTCTTAAGGAATACACCCCACACACCTAAACACATACATACAGGCCTCTGTGTATGTATGTGTGTATCTAAACACACATGTGTGTTTGTGTAAAGACTATTTCTTTACATCCCTAAACAAACACTTCACTGGAAGGCAACACAGAGAATGCACCTGCTGGAAGTGTCTCCTGAAGACCCGTTTTTAGGTCTATACGTGTTTCAGTGTTCGGCACATCTTCAGCATCTTACAATCAATGACTGTAGTGCCTACATGAAAAGTAAGAATCAAACCAGTCCCAAGTCAAGATGGGACAGCTCTATCACTAAGCATCTAAGAACAGCAGTATTGTTTGAAAATGCTACTGGACTTTGTATCCTGATAGTACCAAACACCAAAACTATTTAGACCTATGTAAAGGGGACATCCAGCTTACAGAGAACAGGATAATAAAACAGAGTTGCATGTCTTTACTGTAAACAATGCATCCAGTATCTGTTGAAAATAATGCCCCTAATAAATGGAAACTTTACTTACTTGAAGTCTGGTTGTCTCTATGCCCTCCAATATAGCTTTTTTGAAGTCCTCCTGTTGCTCCTATCAAAAAACCAAAGCAAATCATAAAGGTTACCACCAAAAAACCCATGCCAAAAATACACATAAAAAGCATTTTGGTCACATATTATACCTATCAGAAGGTTCAGAAGAAGCAACTCAGCAGAACAGAAACATTGCAAATGGTCATAATGCAATTCTCAAGGCATATTCTCCCCTGAGCGTGGGGTAACTGCAAATGATAACTTTCATTTACTAACTTAACAGTTACATGGAGAAAACTAGCTTTTCTACATATATATATACACTATGGCACTTGAAGGACAGGTTTATTATGATTAATCACTTTCTATTTAGTTATTTTCATTACTCTTTAAGAAAATGGAAATTATTCATTTTAGTTTATGACAAGTTTATTAGAAAAGCCTTTCCTTCTTGGAAGCATAACGAACAATTTTGGTCCCTTTTTAAAATCATATACACTGTCATCTTGCTCCATAAATTATAATGTAAATCACTTTAGCCTTCCTAAAGGCTGATCTTGAAATTTATGAGCGTCAAACATTTCATGAAACACTAATTATGGGATACTTAATTTGATCTTAATTCACAGTTGTACTCAGCTTGCATAACCTCAGATCTTGTTTATTATTTCATTAGCATCCTATTATGAAGCAACAGCATCTGATGGCAGTTAAGGTTGCATGAGCTTTCACTAGATATTTTTTTTTTCAATCATAACCAGATGCAGAGTGTATTCTGCAAGGAACATGTAAGTTCTTTGATTATATTTGCTCTTAAAACTTTTTCAAAAGATTACAGTTTAAAAGAAAACAATCCCCTTTAACATGTTTGGCAAAGTCTTTCATGCTTACCTCGATGTTGGCACTTCTGTCTTTAATTTTGCTTGCTGCCTCTTTAAAGCGCTGCAAGTCCATGCTGTCTCTGTGACCTTTGACATAGTGAATTCAAAAAGAGTATTCAAAATCAAAGCAACCTCCAATGTTCTGACCATGCCAATAGTTTGCATCACCACAGCAAAGGGTTACAAAACACCTAAGGTCTCTGTGCCTGTTTGCACTAGAAAAGACATTACAAACACACTAAAGTAAAAATTCTGTGTGACCATGTGTTGATACGAAGCTATTGCTTCTCCCACACCGAGGTGTGGATTACCACAATTCAAAAGGTAAAGCTAATATTTCAAAATTTTACTCCAACGTGTTCTCCTCTCAGGGAAGGAACAAGGTCTGAATTACAACACTTTCATGTACGTATGACAAATGAAGAAAGTAGAGTTTTCTGGAGGTAGCTTTTACAGTACACCCTTCATCCTCACAGCTGCAAGAAACACTTCTCAGAATTTTCCCAAGCATGTGGTTTTATGATAACTGGAAATCTACTTGGCTTCACAATTGAAACCTGCACAGTACCACACGTTTTACAAATCCTGGGCAAGAGGAATGAAGAGTATGTTGTAAATGCTAGGGATGTCAGAGGACCATACACAAAAAATCTGGCTCCAGTAAATAAGTACAGTTAGTATTCAAAGTTATTAGTGGTGAAGTACATTTAAAGATTAGATAAGAGTTATACAATCAGTGTCCATTATTTCTGTTTAGTCCTACTTTCTGAATTTTAAAAAAAACCCTTTTTTTTCAACCTGAGGCACTTGTAAACAAATAGCTAATGAGTGTGCAAATTGGAGATACTCTTCCTATGCATATGCCAATCTAAAAACACTAGTGCGTGTAGGGAACTTCTTAGAAATCCAAGTTTCACAGCAGTAGAATAAGCCCTTGTCTAGAGATTTAAATTTCTACATCCTCAGCAAACCTTTGGAAAACACTGAGACATCCCTAAACAATTAGGGCAAGATAATACCTCTGCAGGCAACCTGACAATTCCAGATTACCATCTTCTGCCATACACTAAGCATACTTAAAGCATTATCTACTTTACAGGAATCAGTTAGTAAACCCACACCTGTGTTTTGCAATGAATCTGCCACTGTTTTACCATTCAAATATATAAGTAACTGATCAAAAACATCCACCTTTTTACTGTTAAGCAAAACTTGAGGGGAGGTAAAATGTTGTATTAAATTAAAGAATTTTGGAAGCTTCCAAAATGAGTATCCAAACATACATTATCCTAGGCAACAGTGGAAGATCCCAGTTATAACAGTGTTTAGAAATATAGTACAGGAGGAACCCTCAGCTTGACACAGATACCACAGAGATATTTGTCCAGGACTCCATCAGCCTAAGAAGTGTTCTGTAATTACGTCAAGAAATAGACAATATTTTTGGTTTATGCAATGAGAAGGTAGGAGCTTTAGAATGAGTCACAAATATTTGTCTACAATGCCCATACCAAGTCATATAGCTGCTGATTGCACAAAACTGCTGAAGTCAACAACTGGGTAATGTTTTGCAGAAAAATATTGTCTATGTGACAGAATTATGGAGAAATTATAGTGTAAGTTAAAAACAACATTCAAGCAACATAGGGAAATTAGAGATGTTAAAAGCAAAAAAAGCAGAGCAAAATGGTAGAATGAAGTCACCTGCAACCGGAATACACCCAAAATACTATACAATTCTTGATAAGTCAAACCTTGTGGCTTAGATTTGGTCCACAGTTTATGAAGTAGTCCCATAAGGATGTTAGAACATAAATCTCGGGTTTGTAGTTCCATTGCAGGGACATGCTGACTTTGGGAAAGTTCATCTTTAATATTCAATTTTCCATGTGAGCCGCCACAGTTGACTGTTGACATCAAGTCGCCAGTTGACAAAGAGAACTTCGTTTGGGGCTTGTTCTTCAATAACTTGACAGAGGACTGGTGATCACATTTGTCAACTCTGCAGCTGTAGTTATCATTAGTGTCACTCTCATCATGAATAAAACCACAATTAACGTATCCTCCATTTTCAACACAAGGTTGGGTGAAAGCAAGGCAAGCAGAGCCAGAAGCAAAAGGATAAGAGCAGCTAATAATGACTTCAGGACACTGAGAATCTACTTTGTTATACTTACCCACAAATGCACCAAATTCTACATTATTATCTCCTTCTGTAGCCTTAGAGAACACAGTCTCTTCACGCTTTGCTGAAGAATCCAGCTGACTTTTGCAACTGGGCCGAGATGGAGTGCTAACAAAGAACTTTGCTGTTGGGGATGTTACGTGTGGCATGCTGTTGGATGAGTTGCCTAATTTTTTACTTTTACTAGTGGACTTTGAGATCTCTGCAGCCTGTATTCGTTGGCGAAGTTCTGGAGGGGAAACAGTATTTGAAAATAAGGCACTGCCTGAGGAACCTGCCTCTTGGAAGTTTTTTTCTTCTCTTCGGGGAACTGGAGCCAACTCCTGACCAATTGTCTTATGTTGGGCTTCTTTTTCATCACGGATAGAAATGTTACAGAGTAAAGCATTGTTACTTTCAAGGCCTCCTTGTGGGAAAGAACCAAAGACGTTTCCAATGCTGTGCTTTTTCCACACAGATGATCTTAGAGAGCCGTCCTCAATGAGGTTTTGTGCCAAATGTTTTGAAATGCTCAGTTCCCGTGTGATTTCATTATGAACCTTGCTCGCTTCTGAGGCTTTCTGTGCAGTCAGTGTTTTCAGGGTATCCACAGTCAGAGCAGACAGATCTTGGAGGTGGCCAATCTGTGAATCTAAAGACTGTAATGACCGTTTTATGTAGTTGACACGATCACCAACTTCCTTTATCTGAATGCACATTTGTTCCACCCTAAGAAAAATCAAATCATGAAGTAGCTATGAAAAGTATTTTTCTCAATATGCAAAAGAAACATCTCTGTAACACTTTCTGCCCACTTAATCAGAGGAAAGAAACCTCTGAAACTGTAAGATGGTATACACAATACTACTGGATTGTTTGGCAATATTACATTTGTATGTACTTCTGACTCTTAGAATTAAAATACACATCAATAGAGTGCCCACAACACTTTTTCAAATCTATCAGTTTGTTAAAACATCATGGGAAACTAAATAATACAATTGCCTCAGCTTCATGGATGCTGCTGCAGATCAAGAAGCATCAATCACATTGTTAGTTTCTGTACAGCAATGGAAAGATACCATCTAAAGTTTGTGTTAACACTCATGTTCTTGAGCTGCATTCCCCCCCCCTTAAAGTACATTTTTAAAAACCTGCAAAAGTTCTAATTCTCTATTCAGAAATTTTATTTGCAAATATTCTACCGTTCGAATGTGACTCGAATCCTCTCCTCACTTCCAGAATGAAATTTATCATCCTTTTCATTGAAATACATCTCAACACACAGCTCTTCAAAATCATGAAGTTTCTTCTGATCTTCTTCTGTCAGGAAGAGTTCTAAAGGAGATTAAACAGTTATGATACATATGCAGTGAAGCTGTACAGGTGCTGAAAACTAATAGCCAGAATTTTACCAAGGGTGTTCAAAATAAGAAGCCAAAATAAACCCAAAAACAAAAAAAAGACCCCACCAGAGTGCCACCTAAGACCCTTGCTCTCTCATTGACAGAAACAAGTTCAAAATCAAAGATTTCCAATAAAATCAAATCAAAATAGTAATTCTGAGAGGATCTGTGCACAATATTATCATTCCTTACACTCATACCCTTCAATTTCTTTTTCTCTGAGGCACAAGCTGGATTCCTTAGCTGGATTTTATTCTCTGTGGAACTCCTCATTAATTTTTTTTTAAGTTTCAAAGAAGTTTTACAGAATGAAAACTAAAACCTTCTCCATTAACAGAACAGGAAATCAAATGTCCTTGATTTTTTGTTTTTGTCATAAGTTAGTTTAACTGGAGGTTTTTAGGGACTGCATTATACCCTTCATAAAAGCATTGTGACTGAACAGAATTAGATTCTTAACCAATATTAGAAACATGGAAAATTAAGACCCACTTGGACTTTCTCCAAAATATACATTATAACCAAGAACACAGCACTTTTCTGACAGTTTGCTTTAACCATATCAAAAAAGGTACCGCAATTTTTTGGATAATAACTGTTCATACTTGGCCCATCTGAAGCCTTGTCTGTCTGTCTTCTTTTACAAATACAGCAGAAGAGGGAAGCCATGTGGCTGAGAATAATCAGCGGCGGAGGCAGAACAGGTTTTTCATGGTAGGCCATAATGAAATGATAGCGCTGATACTTCCACACAATGTTTGAAATTGCCTTGACTTGTAAATACACGTTGCTGAAAGGGAATAGAACAGTATTAACACATCAAGGTGGTTTTTTGGGGGATAGGGGAGAGGTGTTGGTGTGTGTTCGGTGGTTGTTGGGGGGTTTTGTAACTCTTTGATAACAACCTTGAATTCTGATGTCATTTAAGTAAGAGACAAAAGCATGAATTTGTTTTTTGCTTCAAAATTATTTTGGTGGATGTTGGAAACACATTCAAGAAAACACCATGATTTAAAGCAAGGAGAGGGTTAAAAAATTTTCCCTTCTGGTAACATCTCAGTACCTTTATTCAGAAATAAATCACAATGAGATCAAATTTCAGGTTTCCCAAACAACAAAAAAAAATTATTTCTAATTAAACCCAGATTTTTCTATCAGACCACATTAATCCTGCAGTCTGCCCTTCTCCAGTGTTCGTGAGCTGCTTATGCCCATAAATCAAACACTTGTGAAGAACTATAAAAGGCAATTTAATACAATTGAACTCAACCAACTAGAGAACATTAAATAAATTTAGGAACAACAGTCAATATAAAGACAAAGAAACAATGTTGTTTGTTTCCTAACAAAGAGAAGTTACAAAATGCTTTCAATTTTTCTTTAACTTCTGATTCCTCTGGTATCATAGATCACACAGTTCCCTAACTTAGCCATGGGCTTGCAGTGAGAAGGGGACAAAGACCACACTTAGAACCTGAAAAAAATGGGACTGCTTTGAACTGGCATCACTTCTTCTTTTCTTGTCATCTTATTGCAATGAAATATAAACTTATCAAATTATTAGCAAAATTTAACAATTATCCATATACTTACTTGAAAAATGCAATAAGGAGATTAACCATGATTATGTACTGTACAAAGAGGTAGACAGCTTGAAGAAATGGGGTCAACCATGTTCCTGGGCCACAGAGATGAGCAACTTTTTCATCAGAATCATTTGCACATACTGTGTTGGGAAAAAAAGGATACAGAGAAAATATGTACATTATTTAGAACTCCCAGCAGGTAGAGATACAGAAAAAAAAAGGTCACAAAGTTTGTAACAACCATCATGCACTGGTTCTGCAATTCCAAATGTCTCCATGCATTTAGGACATGGTAGAAAAATATCAAAGTATCTGGTTAATACTATGGCATAATCATGTTATCATATTTTTTTAAAAAGCAGAGTACACCACCACAGCCAAAATGGCATGACAGCTGTGGGGAAGCATTCCAATATCTTACTATGAACAGCCTTGTGAGAAACTGTGATTACAAAGAGTTTTCATTCTAAGCCATTCAAGCTTTAGAAAGGATAATGAAAAAGTCAGGTCAAGAAGTTACACAGCTGCAGCCCACAAAGAGGAGATAATCCAGTGAATGGAACCAATGTCAACAATAGCAGGCATTTCACTTCATAAAATTGGAATTTTGTTAAGATCTTGAGAAGATTTAATCAGAGTAAGTTTTCTCTTTATTTGTTTCAAAATTGCAGTGTCTTACCATCAATTTCATAGGCATACACTTCACCAAAAATCATCCAGTATGGATGGAACACAATATCTCTAGCAAGAGTCCAAGACGGTGCCTCATCAGGATACAATATTGCCTTCCTGGGAACACCGAAACTAAGAAGTACAAGGGCCATAATCACCACAATGTAAAACATGTTGGCCACCTATTAACACACAAAAAAAAGTCAGTTAATCCATGAGATCATAACTATGATTTCACAACTTGAAACACTTTTACAGTGACAGTGTACACTTGATGAATTCTAAGAATTATATATAGAAAAAAGTCCAGGACACTTATATTGCAGTCAGAAATTTTTGTTAAATAACAAATTGTTTAAAAAACCCACACAAATGCTGGGGTTTTTTCCCTGTCCTTTCTTAGAGCTTACTTAGTATCTCTGGCCAAAGGCAACTGAAAGTATTTCCTTCATAATTCTAATACTTAGTATGTGCATGAGTAGCAGCTGACAGAGAGAAACATTCCTTCCTGAATGTACTGAACAGCTGCACAAAACCCAGAGGTAGTTTTCCAAAGGCTAGAACACAGAACCTATGCCTCTTGCAAGAAATCAAAGTGAGACATGAGCGACTTGATGCCCTTGTTTTCAAGGAATAACAGGTTCAACTTTTTAGGAACCATTTTATAGAAGTAAGAAACATAAAAACCCTTTCCACCTTCATATATACAGCACTCAAGACTTAACATATTTTTTAACATTTACAAGAGCAACTGACAGTAGAGTTAGGTTATTTAATTTTAAACAATTTGAATATTTTTTACATGATAAGACAAGAACAGGGCCACAATCTATTTCCAGTTTTCCACAGCACAAAAACATTAGGTGCTTTAGGACACAAAACAAGTCAAAGTCCTGCCCTAAGGAGCACAAAAGTTATAAATAAATCTCAGGCCCAAACGGGAAGCAATGCCAGCTCAGTCAAGAAAAAGGCTTCATCATATTAATTTAAGTCTCTGACAGCTAAAACCAAAACACAACAGAGGAGAAAGATTTGCCAGTTTCTCACAATTATGTGACACAGAAAGCTCCATAATAAAGGAAGCCTTCTAATCAGTGCTCACTTTGAAACACTTAAAGTGATATTCCAGCAAGCTAATTCTGCACACAGAGTTGTTAACAAATTACACCAGGATAAGCAACCTTTTGCTAAATAAAACTATGAGGGAAATTGTAAATGGATGCAGCAAGGAAAACAAATTTCAGTTGGTAAAAAAATATCAGTAACAAAAGTAGTACTTACCATTTTCCCAATCATCATAACATAAGGTCCAGCCTGTTGATTTACAGCTAGGAAATCCAGTAATCGCACATACCAAAAAATTATATTGAGACAGTATGTTATTCTTCCAGCAACAAAGACATAATTTTCTCTGTAAGTGTTTTCTCCAAAATTCCCCTTGGCTCCAAATCTTAATGCAAACCCAATGAAGAAAGTGACAATGGCAACTGTGTCACTGATATTGAAGTAATCACTGAACCACACTTTGATCTTCTGATTAATCTTCCCAGCCTCTGACATAAAAATCTGTAAAAAAATAAAAATAAAGGTCAGGACTGCTCATATTTATTGTACAGAGACCAACAGTGAAACATATGAATCACTAATATTTTTATACTTGCAAAAATAAAACATCTATTCAAATGGATAATTCTTACTCCCTGAGAAATCAAAGCTGGTATTTAACTGTGTCAGCTTCACAACAAGGAGAGGAGGATGCATGTTTCGCTCTGTCTAAACAATTTGTGAAGGAATTTGGGGTTTGGTGAGGTTTGGTGGGGTTTTTATTTCTTTTGAGGAGGTTACTGTTAAAAAATGAGCCCCATTATCTGCCCCTTCAGTTGGGCCTGAGGTACCAGATTAAAGAACTAACTTTCTCTGTCCCATTTAAAAATGCTTTTAAAAATCCTCAAAAGTCTCTTGGTGACCAGGAATGTTGTAGTTATGATAGCTATCCTGTCTCAGTAAACCTTTTTTTTTGTTTTGATATCTTGATCATGACACAGTGGTAGAGTCTGACTGACACTAATAAATAATACACATTTCACCCGCCAGAAAAGTAAAGTTGTTTATTGCATTGCAACTTGTTGGCAGGGAGTTACAGAATCAAAAAAAGTAGTAATCAGCTGGAGAGGGCGGGGAGTGATGTGTTTTAACCAGAGAAATCGGACCAGCATGTTTATTGCCAGTTCCTTAATATTTACAAAGAAAAATCTGCCTTGTTTTATAGTCCTCCATCCCCATCCTATATCAAAGTTTAAGATAAAGGTATTGCATCACACACCCTGATGCTTGAAGTTCTTGTGTTCTTTTGCTTACTGAATCACAGTTTCAAGCATACTGTTTTAACTGACAAAAAAAGCTAAAATCCCAGACTGTTACAGGCATACCTCACGGATTTTCTCAATTGCTGATGTGAAAATGTAAGCAATAACAATCCACTCCTGAACGGATGGTAATTCTTCCATCTTTACAAGAACCACAAATGTGTAGAGCATGAGGAATCCTAAATATGCCAACTAAAAAACACAAATAAATATTATACATATAATTACTGAAGGGTTCTTTATAGATGTGCATGGAATCTTCTGATGTGGTACACAATAAAAACTTCAAATAGGATTACAGGACTGTATTTACCCATTTAAGTAGACAAGTTACTATTTATAAGGGGATAGAAACATTTTCATCTTAGAAGAGGAAAAATAGCTGTAACAAGCTATTTATTGTTAGCAAAGCTTTGCTCTTATTACAGCTATTTTCCTTTAGTATAAATTCTAACATTTCTATTACAGTAATTGAAACAAAGCAGTGCATGAACACTTCAGCCTAACAGATGGTTATAGAACTCCTGCTAGCAACCGATGAAACTAATTACTCAGACCAGAATAAAAACATTCAAGCTAATTACTCTCTTAGCTTAAAAAAAAAATAAAAATTAAAAAAAGGTATTTCTAAAGCCAACATCATGAACTTCAAAAAAACCCAAACCACACGGCACGGCATGTGCAGTTTTTCAAAATCAAGTACTTCTCATTTCCAGCTTAGCGAGGTAAGGGTTTTTTTGGATAGTGCTTAACCTTTGATTCAGTCAGAGCTACATGCTGGGAAAAGAACCAAAATGTAACCTTCATTTTCAAATGAAATACACACCACACAGAAAAACACTCACCGTATTAAACCAAAACTTCACAATTGGAGCATGATAAAATGCATAAAACTTCTGCGTAATCGGGAGTCTTTTAGGTTTTGCTGGAGTCTCCATATCATGCTTTTCCAAAGAACTGTCCAAGACCTTTACTTCTTTAAAAACTTCCTAAAATGAAAGGACTGTTAACTTCACACAGAGAAACATACGCCTTTTGACATTCATTTCAACTCTTGACTTAAAAATGTAACTATTTAAGTAAGGAATATTGCTTTAATACCTCCCCCTGCCCCACATTACCATAGGTATTTCATCTGCTACAGTCTGGAAGTTGATTTCACTGTCATCCATTGCCATTTGATGTGCGTCTTGAGACTGAGGAATGTGTGACATTTCAGCCTTGGTCTTATATTCCAACAGCAGTATAGCAGGAGGGAGTAAAATACTCAGTATCACCTGGAAAAGATGATAACTAAGTGCAAATAGTTCACAGCTACAATAAAGTATCAGAATACACCAACACACAGAATATCCTCTGTAAATACATAATTTAAATTTCGCTTGCTTGTTACTGAGGGGGAAAAAATGTAAAAAATAATTAGTTGTTACTACTTGTACATACACTTAAGAGCCTAAGATCACATATTCAGTGTGTTTCTTGATTTGAAGATAAAGGAAATGGGAAAAAACCAACAAATTTCAAAACTAAAAGCTATTAGAAAGAATCTACTTCAAGACTGAAGATAGAGATGTTCTGTTCACACTGTTCTTTAATCCACTCCCAGAAACTCTGAAGCTGTGTACAGTTAAGGTGTATTTTAAATGCATATACAAGGTTGTGATTTGCAGGGGGAGGGAGGAGTGGTGTGTTTGGTTTTGGGTTGTTTTTTCAATTTATGGCAGAAAAATGGGCTAAGGTATAGATGTAGAGAGTAAGTGAAAGCTATTTACTGTCATTAGCATGTTACAAAGCAAGCAAGAAAATGGTTAATCAGTTATCAAACAAGATTTTAGTAGGTCACAAGTTAAATTATGCTTGTAGATATTTTGTAGGAAAGTTTTATTTCATTATATTTCTAGCAACAATCAGGTTTTGGCACACCATTTCAAAGAAATATGCATCTCCCATTTTGGTTCAATTGATCTATATCACAAAGGCCACCACTGGAACACCTGTCCCCGATTTGCCTACCCTTGTTTTGTTCTGTGCCCTGCTTTTGCTCAGTTCCTCCAAAATAGGAATTATGTGCTCCCTGTAAAAAGCCAAAACGCACAAAACTACAGTCTTACAGCAGGTTTTCCATCTGTTAAGGTTTGTTACTACTTTGTTTTTAGTAGTGGATTAGTATTCACATGATCTCTTTAAGCCTCCGATTAAAGGCTACTTGCCTGTTTTTTGCCTTCTATATTTCTGTACCTTATTTGAAAAGATAATAGAGTGTCAAAAGAAGAGTTTACAACAAATACTTCCAGTTTTGATTATGTTATAGGAGACTGGTTTACAGGATTTATTAATGTAAGCTATAGTTGTGGAAGCTTTAAACTAATAGCATTTAAACACACACTTTCCTTCCCTTTAAACATAAACTCCATTGGCCCTTTTTACATCAATAAACTGCGACGACACTTACTTTGTACCACGAATTCTTCCTCATGTTCAGCCTTCCCATCCACATATCTGATAACAACATCTGTGTACAAGTGTGTGCTACAAAGGGACGGAGCCTGGATGACACTGCCAACTTCAGACAAGTGGAGTTGCTCCAGTTTTTAAGCTCATAGGTTAATAATTTCATGGCCATAGTCTCATCTTGTCGGAAGGACTGTTCTAACAGCTCAACTGCCAGTTGGCCAAACTCACTAGAATGAAGAAAAAACAACAAAACATAGTATCTACAGAAAATGACCTTCAGTTTAGCATGAATTTTCCTGTACAAATTCCCAATAGCACAACTTGAAGGAACTATTATTTGACCCTTCTGTGCAGATACATGGTAATTTGTAACTATAACACATCAATATGTGGTTTCTATTAAAAACATATGCATGCTACAAAAACAGCTATTAAAACACGCTCAGAAATTACACAGAAGTAAATGGTACATTCATTGTTCTTTTAATTCAACTATAAATAAAGACTTGTAACAGCTCTCAAGAGGGAGTAATATCTAATATGAAACTTCTACTGGAGTGCCACTCCATCCTTTTTTTTGCGAAAAGGAATTGTCTTCAAGTGTGCTAACAGAACAGTTTGTTTTGTTCATATATAGTTCATACATACTTTATTGCAAATGCCAAGAAAATATTTTGAACAATATAAACGTAATTTACTTGGAATACTGTTTCAGTTCTTCTGAAGTATCATCAACAAGGTCACTTTGTTTTGCTTCATATGCCATTGAACGATACACTTTGCAAGCAACCAAAGCTTTTGCCATGGACTCCTCGCCGTGCTGCCAGAAGAAAAGAGCCATTTTCTGCCTCTTCATTAACACTGCCCACAACAGCAGCTCGTTGAGAGGATAAGCAAAACGTCTCGTTTCAGGGTCATCTATGTCTACTATTTCATCTTTGGTTCTTTTCTTTTTTCCCTCTTCTGCACCAGTGTCAATCTTTAAAATAAAAACAGGAAGTTACATTTTTAAGTCTCTATACTCACTCGTTGCATAAACTTGAAATAAAATGCTGAGTGATCCAATACCAAATTATATATAATTATAAAAAAGAAAAAAAGAATTTCTGAAGACTTGAAAAGTAGCTGGAACTTTTGTTCGAAAACTTCAGCTGAGTCCAAATCATTTTAATAATTGTGAGACTGAGTTACTTTGAATTATAGATGAAAAGAAAAGTAGTAGCTAATATACCTACATACAAATGAGGAAACTCATGGAAACTGCTTATAGTAGTAATACATGGTCAAATCTTGCTCTGAATCTACTGAGTTTCTCCCCCATTGCTCGTGTTAAAGATAAGCTTTTTGGTCCCTAGCATATCAAAGCTCACCCAGAACTATACTGAAAGAGAAACACTCTTTACAGAATCCAGTAAAACAGCTACCATTTAGAAACAAGTACAAAAGCAAGGTTGAAATTCCAGCTTTACCAAACTCAGTGCAACTGCTGCTACTCACATTTCAGTGAGCACTTGGATTTCAACCAGGCTTTCCAGTCTTAGCTGCTTGAAACAAGCCCCCACCGTGTTCCCCTCACCCTTGCATACCTTTGGTTTGTATGGCTGCGCTGTCTTGATGAAATGATTATGGCGCATTTTTTCCTTCTTGTCTGCCCTGTTACCAAAAGACTCGTGGCTTTTACACATCTGAGGAGTAGCACTTGAAGGATTTCGACTAGATCTCTGTAACAGGGATCAGGAGAAGGTGTCTGGTTACTGAAACATTGATGAACTTACATGACAGCACAACCAGAATTTTGACCGGATATTTAACATGGTTTCTTGTTTGTTTTCGTTATTTTTAAGAAGTCACCCAAATAGGCAGTTACACTTATTGTTTAGTGTAGCTTACACAAGGAGCTAAGATGTCTGCACCCCAAGCTCTATATAATCTGCATGTTTAGTGCCCATTCTTCCCCTACGAGTAGGAAAAGAGGGAATCACAGAGAAGAAATAAGGATGTGCCAGAATAAGGAGCAGGAGAACAAACCCTTTTGTTTGCTCTCTATCCAAAACCAGCCCTCATAGGCCTTACCACTGCCTTGAAAAGAACTAGTCCATTAACAAGAGGAACAAAAGAATGTGGACCCAATTTTTCTCCAAAACACATTTTAATTGAGAACATAGGTCCTGTTACCCCACTGCTACATACCCGATTGTTCCCGCTGAGACTGTTGTATATCGCTCTGAAGCGTTTCCTTGTATAGGTGCATCTATAGGTTCCTCCCATCAGATATTCAATAACCAGTCCCACATCAATCAGGTTGATTTTATATCCTGGAGGAAGATTTCCCTAGGAATATAAAAGGTATTTTTTAGTTTTTCAAATTATAATCTTAAGCTTGTTTAGAGTGTTTCTACATGTTCTATCACAGCTCTAAATAACAAAAACAAACAAAATTTCATTATTAAAAAAAAAAACCACATCAAGACAACAACGAAGAAACATCTACATGGCTCAATAGTTATTATTTTCAAAGAAAGACCAGGTTATAGCTTCTGTTCTATACAATCTTCCTTAGCAGGATAGATGTTTATTTCCTTGGGGGCAGGAGGGACACACTGGTTTTTTGTCTTTTGTTTTAACAGAAGTACGCCTAGCTGAGAGTATCAGCTTTCCATCCCCCCAAGAAGAAAAATTTTCAAAAGGAAGATGAAGAAGACAACATTCTTCAGGTTTAACATCTTTCAGGCAGCAGGGCACCAAGCATACAACAGCAAGTATTGTACACAAAAAATGTCTGAAGAGGTAACTTATTACTTACAATAAAACCTAATTAATAAGCTACAGATCAAATGGACAGTCGAATACAAGAAATTTCCATAAAACTACCACTGCTGGTTTGACAGATTTGTACATTTACAGCATACCTGTTTGACGTCCCGAACAAGATGAAAGAGTGTTGGGTTAGTTGGGCCTTGTTTCTTCATAAAAAAAGAGAGGAAAAAAGTTTGGAATGAGAAATTCGCGTGCAGCGGCAACACGAGAAAATTACAGTACAAGTCAAATACTTTTGCATGTTGGTTCAAATAAAAAAATCCCTAGTTTTTAAACAAAGAGAAATGAAACAGATCCAAATATGTCACAGTATTGTAGTAGCTACAGACTAGTTCCTTTTTTGCTGCGTTTTACTTCCATTTTAGTTTGGGGCATAATATTACACTCACGGTTTGTCCAAAAAAGGAAAAAGGTGGGGAAAAAAACAAACAAAAAATAAAATCCCAACAAAACCAGAACACAAAAAGCAGAATGAATTTTCAGGAACACAGACTGATACTCACGTTTACAGTATTGCAGGATCCATAGTAAAAGCTCCCTTACATTTTAAATTTTAGTCTGAACAATCCCCCTTTTTACTAAAGTGGATTTTAATTCCTTCTCTGATTTCCTGTGAGTGCATGAACTGTTACACTTACAGACATATGGTTAGCCCCATTTAATTATTTAATTACTTATTTGAAAATAATTAAAAATACAGCTAATTAAAAAACCTTATCACATGGGCTCCTTTACAGAGCTCTATTGGCTAAAGAATTAATTCTTTTTTCTTTTTTTTTCTTTGGCAAAAGCAGATAATGGGATGGTCAATGCAAGCCTAAGCCATATTTCTATACCACTCATTAGTACATGTGTACTACTACATTAGCTAATTTTTGGTGGAACACTTAAGCATTAGGCAAAACTACCTTGAAATTCTTAGAAAAATTTTGTTGCTCTAGGTGTTGATTTAAGTAATATTTACAACTAGGCAGGTTCACAAATTAAACTATTTTTACAACTATTGTGATAATGTTAACTGCTATAGACAACATTCATCCTATGAAGCCCTACAGATCCCATATTTTGTGCACAAGTTTCATCTATCTGCCTTTCTCTTGTTCTCTTCTGTGCTGTGAGGAGGGTTTACACATTTCATGAGTTCCACAACAGGGCTGTAACACACCTTCAGACTGGTGCACACAACCCAGTATCCAACGTGCTGAGCAACTAAAGCACTGTTCTAAAAGTAGCTTAAAAAGCAATCATTTACTTACTGTGTTATAAAGTTCTTCCAGCCTGGGAATTGTAAGAAATTTGTGCATGCTTACTCCATTTTCAATCAGAAGTTTCACAAATGCAACTCTATCCATCACAAGAGCATCCAACATAGCCTGTTCCAGGGAGCCAACCTACAACAAATAAGTAACAAGAGTAGAGCCTGGAGAGAGCCAGTAAAACAGAGCATCACAGAAGTGCACTTAGATAATGTGTCAACCTCATTCATTTACAGGGCTGTAGAAACATAACATGTCTATAAAGGTGTCACCTTTGGTTCAGAATATCCCCTGAATTTCACACAATTGCAAGATGAGAGAATATTCTGAAGACTTTAACTGTTTCATAGGTATCTCCTAGTGAGACAGTACATGGGACTAAGTAGACATTTGGTTTAACATGATTAAGCTGTTCTCACAGATTGACATTGGATAAAACACAGAGATGTAAAACACTTAAAGCACAATTTGCTTTGAAGACAAATGGTTGGAACCACCATTTCAGTCAATAAGCCTTACAGTACATACTTCTGACTGCACACTCAATAAGTTTGTGTTTTATTTTTACATTAATAAGGGGAAAAGGCAAGAGCCAACATGCAGTTTTTAAACTAATTTTCAAACTGCAAGAAACAGACATTTTGTCCCTGCCTCAAAAGACACTGCAGTGCTCCCAATAGTGCATTTTAGTAGATGCTGCTTAATAACTTTCCATGATCATGCAGCTGCAAGGAACAAAGAGCATCTGACTAACATGAATTCAGCTTCCACCTTTTGTAATGTCTTTGCTCTGCTAGTTATCCAGGAGACTTAGCACATTTCTAAAATTTCTGAACCATTTTCAAATACGTAACAGCAAAACAGTTGTAAGACTATGCAATGTGCACAAATAAGTGTGTCAGTATTCTACAGTCTCTCTCTACGAAAGTCAAAAGATTCGTTCTTTACAGTAAATTGTGCTTCTCTTTTAGAAATCATCATAATTATAATTTTGCTTAATCCAGACCATTACATACCAGCCATTGTTGCCCATAAACAAAAACGTGATTTTTGGCTATGTCAACTCTGTCCCACGCAAGTGTAAGAACAAGCTGGTCAAATGCAGATGCATTCGTGCCTTTAGAAGTAAAACACATTGAAGAAAATATAAAATTAATTAAAATACAAGCTAATAAACATTCTTGCTTCCTAAAAGACCAAATCAAGCAATCCACTACAAAGTTATACACCGTATTTTATCATTTATGTCACATTATGGTATTACGCAATGAGAAAACACAATAAATACTTTTTTTGTTTAAAAACTAAAGATTCCTACTGGCTATAGTATTGTATAAATAATCCATCATATACAGACTAAACAATAATAGCTGGAGGTTCCAAATGCTCTTAAGTCTCACCTTTTAACAAAGCTGTAAGTATTGCAACATCAATGTCCTGGTGTTCGTCTGACCCAATATGAAAAACTGTAATCTGTCCAAAAGAGAAAAATGAGGAAAACATATTTTGAAGTTATTTTCGGGCAAAGGTGATTAGCTCCAGTCTTTTTTAATCTATTTCAATTCCTGACATAAAAGACACCTTGTCTTTGATGCAATTTAAGCCTGCTACGCTTGATTTAAGCATTTAGCACGCACTCTTTTGTTTTGCTTTCCTAACTGGGTGTCACACAAGACAATCCATTACAGGTAAAGGCAGAGCACAAATCCTTCACACTCTTCAATCAATTTGAACATCTCTTCCTACTGTGATTACAATACTCTCTTGTCTATAACACAGGACCCTGTTTACCTCTCCAGTTCATTCTAGGTCGAGATTAACCTGTCAGCAAACATGTTTAGTTGAATATGGTAATTTTAAAACAACATAATATGATGCCTAAATGAGACACCAGTCCCTGAACTACATATAAAACTCTATGAGGTGATTTTGTTTAAAACATGCAGAGAGTACTAACATGCAGAGTACTAACAAAAGTACACTTTTGTTAGCAGTCATAACTAAAAGTACAAAAAAAAGGAAACAAAAAATCATATCATATATTCATAAATGCATGCACCTTGCATAGAAAATTTTATGGCAAGATCTACTTACAAGTTCTTTTTTTTTCATGCATTCCATCAGTGTCTGAAACAAATGAACTGCTTCACTTTGACCAAAGTTAAATGTCTTTTTGATGGTTGAAATGATTTCAGGCTCAGCACCCTCAGGAACATTCCTGAGATTGAAACAAACAAACAGGAAAGCAATTGTTTTATACACGAACAAAAAGAACAACAACTCATTTAATTAGTTTCAACATGCCCATTCAGAGTCCTACTATCTATAAGATTATCACTGTTTCTGTGGCAAAACCTTGGGCAAAACCTTTAGAAGGTATAGGTTGCTTCATCTACGATTTTCTGCTACTGCCTCATAAAAGTAACTCAGCTCTCTCTCCCTTTCCTTCCCTTATTGAATTCTGTGATACCATCAACGAAAAGATTTTGACACTTACTTCGCTGAATAATCTGCTAGTGATCTTACCATGGGCAAAGCTGTTTGGTCTACAGCTACATCAGACCCCTGCCTCCTGTCTGAGGCAGCCCCTGCAACAAGGACCCAGAATGTTTAAGGATTTACGCAAGGCTGACAACTAACTAGAAGTCACTAAGTATTGTGGAGCCTGACCACATCCCTCTTATTATTTGAAATGACACTTGAAATAGCCAAGTGTTTTCTGCCCCAAACAGAAAAGGCTCTTACACGAATTCATCAGGAAATGATCTCAAAACCCACCTATGTACGACAGATAGTTTGGCTGGCAGTGCTGGGACTTACCCTCCCTCCTCTGTTTGCTTGTGAACATAGGCCAGTATGTCTGCAGCTCTACCAGTTCCTTCACAAACCACCACTGGCACCGGGGGACTTTCCTGAAGGAAGTCTAAAACTGTGAGGATGACATTGGGGCCCCCTTCGAACACAAGTGCCACCACAGGCACACCTTGACCAATTCCTGGAAAGTTGCAAAAAAGTAATGAAAACCAGACAATGTTGTGGGTGTATAGGGAATGCTAAGATCAATTTTACACATTCAATAAATCAAGTTTGCCCCTTTCATTGAATAAAAATTAAAGTGCTGCCTGCCAGACATGTTAACTGTTGTTAATACATGGTTTCAAGCACTGTTTATACTTCGGGCTGGGAGGAAAGCACTGCAAAGCTGGTAAATACAATGGAATACAGTCTACAGAACAGAGGAGATTCTTCACAAAAATATTCACGAACTAAGGCAGAAAACTGAAAAATTTTTCTTTTGGAACTCCTCCTCTAACTTACCCCAAATAGTTTGACAATGACATACTATACATATGACAATACATATATCATTTGAATATGGGTACATAGAAACCCTCTACTGATGGGAAACATTGCAAAAGCAAGCATTCCTAGAAGAGTCAAACATGTTGCTCCATAATTGGGAAAACACCCAAAAATAAGTCATGGTTTCTTTGCACAAACAGATGACGTTTTACAAACTCAATTGCCCCATTGTGTAACTGCAAGTGAATGGTATCAAAACCATTAATCAATCAGACCAGGAAGGTCTGACAACATACAAAGACCTGAACTGACTTACACTTGCTTTATCAAAGTAAACAGACAACCTTATTCAAAAAACTCTCCTCACTGGTCCCAGAGAAACCATAAATCTACCAGCGATCTCTAGGGTTCAAAGCTTCTGTTGAAATTTGCAAATTGAGACTGGAAACAGAAACAAAAGACTTAATTTTTCTACTTTGTCATTCAGATGTTTGGTGCCAAGTACCTTTTTCATTAAAGCACAGTAACACTCAACCCTCAGGCAGCAGAATTACTTACTTGCATGGATCCGTTGCAAATTAATGGTTTTTTCCAGTTCTCTTCGCAATTTAACTTCTGCTCCATACTTTCCAACTGTTCCATCATCCACCAGAATGAAATGGGAATGGAGGTTATTTAGGACGTTTAGTTTACTTAATGGATTTAACAAGGTTTGATATGGAGCAACCACCTAGAGTATAAGCACACAACAATGTCTTTTACTTGTGAAGGTTCATACTTGTTTCTGTGAAACTTAACTTTTTGTCTAGACACAAGAACTGGTGGCTCAATGAGAAGCACTGACACATAAAAGCCTGCCTTGGGTCAGGATACACCAACAGCTGTAGCTCTGAACTTTGTGCAGGGAAGCAGATAAATATTTCACTAAAGTGTTCTGAGGGATAACAGAGAAAAGATCCATTAAAAAAATGTCTTTGGGGAAAACTTGTGACTGCTCTGGCAAACAGTAGCACTGAAGACTCCACATCAAAATTTTTCAACTTAACATCCTCTCTAAATGTGAATTGTCTGTAATACTTTAACATTTTTGTAATTTGAGTCAGTATCAGTAGGGGAGAAAAAAAAAGGATTAAACACTTAAGAACAAGCTCCTCCTGTAGCACATTTGCATTTTGTAACTTGTTTATACATAATGATCTTGCATAAGTCACAGATGTCAGTGTATCTTCACAGTAAAGCAAGTATTCCAACGATACAAAGCAAGGGAAAAAACATGCTTGAGTAGATTTGTCAAAAAATACATGGGGTAAATAGTTATTTCAGTTAGGTAATTCATCCTTACATCTCTTCCAACAAGGTCATTTCTGTTTTCAATCACTCCCCACGGAGCAATCCCAATAGTGCAAATCTTTCGAGATGATCTGGAAGCATGTTCTCTTAGAGCATCCCCAACATGTTTTGCAACACCTGTTTGTGCGTAAAAAGATCATATGTATTGAATGCTGTACCTAACTAAGAAATACAACTGTTTTATTTAGGTAACTGGACCTTTAACTGTTTTATTTTGGTAATTGGGCCTTTAAGGATGCGGGCACTTATTTGACACACCACCAAAGAAAAAACCCCATACAACATCTACTAGAAGGAAACAAAATAATTCAACAGAATAAAGATTAGCCTAGTAAGAAATAGAGAGCTACAGTACATTATTGTACTTGTTTTTAATCACATTAAGTTTTTCCTCTTGTGGTTCCAAAAACAAAACCTAGAAAACAAACAACCAAACCAAAAAAAAAAAACAAAACAAAACAAAAACCAACACCTCCCCAATACTTTATTTCTCTTTGCAAGACAAAACAGCAGCCCACTTCCAACTACACATGCTCAAAATGTATTTTAATTTCACCTGACCAAACTCACTCAAATTTACTTTGCTTTAAGAGGAAGCTATGCATCCATTAAATCTTTTGGCTCTTATAAACCGTAATCCAGTTAACTGTGCACATTCCTTAGTAGTTCTTTACCTGTGTTCACTCCTCCAGTTATAATCCAGGCTCCTGTTGTCACTGCAGCTTTGATAAGACCTTTGCCAAGCAACTGTTTGATGCGTGGGTGAAGTTCGAATTTCTGCATGCCCCCATGTACAGATATAACAAGCTTTGGCAACTCCATCTGCCATTCTTTAAGCATAAGTTGCAGAATAGCTTCAGGTTTGGTGTCATATGACAGTCGCACATACTGCAGGCACAAGAAGAGAGTTAAAAGGTTCCAACATGTGAAAAGAAGAACCAGGGCACATTTCAGGATATATTATCCTATTCCTGGCTATGGAAAATGTAATTCACTTTCTCAAAACACAGGAGATGCAATAAACGAACAAGCTTCCTTCACGTCCTCTAGAGTCAAGGACAAGACAGTTAACAGTTTGGAAAGCAAGTTTTGGACAAGGCACGACTACAAAAAGGTCCTGGTATTCCATCCTACTGGCACAGGGACTTGGAAAAATGAGTCTTTATGAGAGCACTGGATGATCTCTAAGTTAGATGAAATTCAGAAGCAGTTATAAAAGTTCTACTAAGGAGAGGCTTTCATGTCCCCTGCAAAGACTTTTTCAGACAGTTGCTTGGTTTTCCTCCCCTGTTCCTGGTGGGAAGAAAACCTACATTTTTTAATAGAAAACTTCAAAAGTGGTAGTTTTTAACTTGCCATCTTTAACAGCACAAGATTAAGTAGATGGTTGATTAGCTAAAATACTGCCACATCTTCAATACAGGCTATTCAATAGAGGAGGGGATAGTGTGCAGAAATTAAACCCTTCCTGAATCAAGTTCTAAATAAAAAACCACCACTACTCCATTTAACTGGTTTGAGCAACCCCACTTGCACTCTGCAGAAGGAGTGTGGGCAGCTGCTATTTCTGTGCACCTAGAAAAGGGTTCACAGCAATTTTAGGCTATACTAAGAGTACAGAGGAACCCATACACTGCTATTACCAACATGAAAGAACTCTGCTAAGGGCCCTTCCCATTTCAGAGATGATCTGACTTAAAGCACTGGACTGTCCTTGGGGGTTCTGCATAAACAACACAGCTCCCTCAAAAGCACTTCAGTTTTGCCACGGGAGCCACACTGTACAAGAACCCCTCGTAGCCTATAATTGCACAAGCATTAAATAACTTCTACCACAACTAAAAATCCTTCACAAAATGGTTGTGAAGAATCTGTCAGAATTTCCACTTTTTTAGCCTCTCCAGAACATGTGCACTTGGGAATTAAGAACTGATTTCCAAAATTTTGATTTATCGGTATCCTTGCTTTTAACCAACCTCCTCTCCCCAAAAACTTAGTTATTCTGTTCAGTACAGCTATGCTTTAATGACTGCCAAAAATCTCATAAAGAAGCATATTCTACATCTGTCCTTAATCTTAAATAAATTTTTTTCAGATTCTGAAAACTATGACTAGAGGGTTAAGATAGCAGATATTACTTAACAGGTCCTATAAAAATGTAACAGTGTTGTTATGCTGTATTTTCATGAAGTCTGAAATGGTAACACTTAGTTCTTAATGCAATGTTTTGCTGAAGTGTTCATGAATTCTTATGACCATTCACAATTTGGAGGTATGGCTGTACTTGAATACAACTAATTCTGATAGATCTGAGCAACTTCAGTCATGAAAAACTAATTTTAACAAATGAAAATCGGAAAGAATTCAGATCACAACAAAAAATACTAGCACAAAAGAAGGAACTGGCTTGTCACAAAATGGGTGATAATACTTCAGCCTACAATTTCAGAAGTGAAGCATCCAGAATATCAACATAGTTAGAGTAACAAAAAAAAATACAAACAACAGAATGTCATACGTGCCTTAGCCCTGTAAGAATGAGATCCCCCTTGGAAGTTGATGACACCGTAAGCATCAGTAGGGGTTTGTTCCGTATGTTTTTCCACTGACCACTCCTCTATTTCCTGGTTACTGTTTTCACCCAGCTTCACATCCGAGTATTTCATAGCCAGACTGGCAGTAAAACAAGCGTGTTGTCTGACCAAGCGGCCACAGCAGCACCTGCACCCAACAACACCATGTACAACACTTTAGTAAGTACTATTATTAGAAAATAAAAGAAAGGAACTTCTTTTGTCTATAACAGAAATAGATTAGATTTAGAAAGCAAAGATTCTAAATATTAGAAAAACCTCTTTTCCAGAGTAAGCCTTGTTGCCATAAATATTTATGGCAACAGGTAATTACAATACATATTATTATGCAAATTATTGAAGCTCACTGAGATAGCAAGCTGGAGGCCAGAAAAAACTCATTCTTTGAAGTCAAATAATTTATATAATGTTCAATAATTTGTGATCTACGTATTGCAGATAGTTCTTTAAACAACAGTTAAATTTATTTTATATCTAACCTTTCACCAACTTGTCATTCATAATATTGATCAAAACTTTTAAAAACCCTATTATGAAAGCATTTATTTAATGGAAAAATATTCATAAATATTTTAATTACAAAGAACTCTTACCTGACAAGTTGCTGACAAATCTGACATCCTGGAAGGCATCTGTAAGAAATATTGAAAGATGTGAGTTAAGTTCAGTTTCAACTTCAAGGGCAGAGGAAGGAGGGACACGGATAGGATGGGATGGGACAGGACACACGACCACTCAGACCACTATGTGCTTACAGAAAGATTGTTGAACAAAAGAGAACTCCAATAAATGGAAAACATGATGCCTAAATTTGTCCATTTTCAACATGGTAACTAACTTGTCTGTATTTTATACAGTAGTGTCTTTCCATACAGTTCATTATGTAATTTCTCTCATCTTCCATATTAAACATTTTCCATGTTTTCCTGCTAACAGCTTTCTTAACATCTAAAATTAGCATAGCAGATAAATTTGTATCACTGCTTTCATAAGCAGCTGTTAACCAATTATGGTTAAGAGCCAGTATACAAAAGTGTACAAATACAGATGTCAGACAGTCTTCAATTTTACTCAGACGTTGTGCATAAACAATTTTTAAATTTTGTCCACTGTAAAACTTACACTGCTATTAATCATTTATGCTTTTAACACTAACCTGTATATAACTGTCTATACTAAAAGCTAAATATCATCAACACATACCAAATTATCCTGTCTACATTTGATTAATTTATGCATAACTCAGAAACAACAGTGAGCAATTCACCAACAACAGGAGGTGATTTTTAGAAGCTGAAGGGCAGAACCTGGTGGGAAAGTTTTAAAGTCCCTTGTAAGCTACAAACAGGTTAAAGTAAAAGGGCAAGTGTTGAAGACCATTTTGTTCCTTGTTAAACGCTCTGGAAATTTTAACAGCTTCCTAATTACTTGGTTTGCATTTGCAAATTTTCCATGTTCTACAATCACGGTTATAAATTCTAAAAGCTTCTCATGTCACATGGTTTCAAGGAATGAGGTGAATTATTTACAATAACTTAAAATTTCTACAGCATTTCCTTAGTTCTTTTTCAGTTTAAAAACAAAGTTCTTAAATGAAAAATAATACTCTGCCCCAACAGAACAAAAGAGATTCATAAGGTTTTTTTATGGAAAAGACTGAAATAGAAGTTCTCCCAACCTCAGAAGAAAAGGTTTCTAAGCTGCTCTCAGATATATGAAGCTTAAAAATCCTGATCATGAAAGCGTGAACTCAAGACAGTATTTCTTACAGACAAAGCAGTTATTCCAGCACTCTTTACAATACTGACTTCTTTAATTTTAAAGAGCAGCAATGGGTTCTTGCACCATTTCACTTTTACCTGTGGGGGTCTTTTGAACTTGGTATAATGTACACACACTCCCTCTTCGTGAAAGTATTTTCTATCCAGGATTTCTGGGACTGAAAAAAAAAAAGCATAACAGCATTATAAAATACAAATCATAAGCCTTTGCAATGAAAAATGTTTCTTAAAGAAACAAGATTCAGAATGAGGGGTTTGCTGCCTCAAAAACCTTTAAACCACATATGATCCTATAAGAACATCCCACATATCTCTCCAGAAGTTGAGATAATCAGAATCATTATGTAACTTATACACAAGTCCCTTAAAATCCAAAGCAGTATTTTTCAATGCTAACATTCAAATAGCAAAAACTTTTAATATGCAAATGAAGATGTACAAAAAAACCCCATACACTGGTAACCTATCTTGCTAAGAAAAATAATCAGTTAATTTTTTTAAATTAATTGCACTACACTGAGATAACAGTAATTTGATCTTTTCCCCTCTTTAATAAAGTAGAATTTTAATCTTGAAATGGTGGGTAAGGAAGCTTTCTAACAACACTGGCAATCTTTTCTAGTAGCAATAAATAAGTCATAACCTTCTTTCTTCATCAAAATACTTTTCATTTCAGTAAACAAAATTAATTGGCATCTCTGAACTGCATTTTAAGCTTAGACTTGAAACATACTCTGAAACGTGAAATCAAGGATGCTCACTATTTCAAATGGTTCCCTATTCAAATAACTGGACATGAATTTCATTTCAGTTGCTTTAAACAACCACATTAACATTATCTTACATGATAATCTTAAGATTACATGCTAAACAATATCATAATGCACAACACCTACATTAAGTTTCAGCAATACATTGGGAAAGGAACTCAGACATGATTTTTAATAATTAAAACCATGAAAAATCTTGGAATGCTAATTTGCATGTTATGCAATATTGCTTTAAATCCTTATTAAGAATACGTTAAAATTACTTCATTGCTAACAGCAATGTTCTACATTTACATTTTACTTTTAGAAAAATTTGATAAATTTCATACCTGTTTTATTTTACAACAAGGGGAAAAAAACCTGACAGATATTATTCACAGGTCCAAATTTTTAGCTTCCTCCTCTCATAATTTTTCTTAACACTATTAAGCTTTAGCCCTTGTGATATGAATCCTATTCTGGAAGCTGCTTTCTGCTGAGTCTCCACAGTTTACATGGGTGGTTTTGTACTTCATTTCTTAAAACCGAGTTTTGCTTTAAAGCTGCAGTAGTTTAAGCTCATATATGAACTCTGCAGATCCTCCAGAATATAAAAAGATAAAGAAGAGTAATTGAATACTTAGATGTTTTAGCCAGCTGGCTAAAACTATACCTTCAAGGAAGCTATCACAGCATAACATGCCAGATGTTAAAATCCAAAGAATATAAACCACAAGCAATTGCGTCAATTGCTCCACACAATATTGTTTTATTATTAAGTGGTGATCAAAGTTGGGGACAAGGAACTCTGGCTCACAATGTGTAACACCACTTTTCATAATAAACAGTTCTGAAAATAAAAAAAATTTTAAAAACCCACAAAACAACCAACGATTCGTTAATTTTCCTCTTAAAGAATGTAGTTTTAACCACTTGTCAAGGATTTCTCTCTATTCTTCAGCAGTGAATATATTTTCAGTACAGCACTGTGCTATTTATGTAGAGGAGGCTCTAAAATGTTATTAAAACATACTTGGAACTTGTCATTTGGTAAAATTAAACTCTCTGCAGAAGCATGCCTGTATGCTAATTAATCTTTATTGCAGGAGATTTTATACAAGATTTGCTGATTACAGGGTCTTGTTTTCTGTTGAGAGGGAAAAAGAAAATAAAAAGAAAATACAGTTCAAGAAAAGAAGAGAGTGAGAGACACTTCTCATAAACAGGTAAAAATATGGGCTGTATTGCCCTCCATGTAAATAAGAACTATTATTACATAACATTCCTGTGATGTTCAGAAACAGGAAGATGACATGAGGACACTGTTAAGGATAAATCAGTTGCAGCAATTACCTCAAAGAAATACTTCCTTATCAGCTAAAGATCAAGTTAAAATAGGAGATCAAGGCAGAAGTCCAAAATCAATAGGAGTTATCAGACTGTTTCAGAAAAATTGCCTACTCTTATTAAAGCTTTTCATCATCTGAACAGGATACACAACTGCACCTCTCAAACTCTGCTTCCAGTAATGGGTGACCCCTGATGAGTGCTCTGTTTTCCCAGTGTATTTTTAGAAGGTGTACTTTACACCATAGTTATGGGCAACATGTGTCATGGGCCTTCTAGCATAAAGCACAAGTAATATCAGCATATAGTGACCTATTTTACAACTGTTTACTTTCTTTTCTTTCAAAATTGCACTTGTAGAAAAAACCTTAGCTTTCCAAATTCTCTCCTGTGCATTTTCAATCTCTCAAGCTAAATAAAAGTTAAGATGTCCAAGAAAAGTTTTAATACAATTAATATTATCCAGAACTACCTTCACTTTTTCCTACAGGTGAGTTACCTACAGAAATTTCACCACATTAAGACCTCTTAACAATCAGTGTTGGCAGGACCTCGTCTACACACAGAATAATCCTTAACTTTTACTTTTTGGAAGGTTTGCTACAGTTCCTACTAACTCCTCATCCCCAGGTGGCTCAGACTTTAAACTGGTTATGCAAGAGATCACATTCTGGTTGTACTGACTTCTGAGCAGACACTGTGTCTTTCAGTACTTCTGAAAGAACTTCAAGAAGCAAAAAGCACATAGATTTGATTCAATAACCTAGAAGAGATATGGTCACCCTGGGATCATGATTAAAGGAAATACTTTACACTATTTCAAATAAATAAGTCCTCTCTTAACAGTTTCACAAATGCTGAAATAATTTTAATTGCCATTTGAAACACAACTTACACAAACATTTGCTGAACTACAAGCTCAAGAGAACGCGCCCAACTACTTCCGAGTTCTGGAAGTGTATAAATGTCAAGATAATCCCACGGTCTTTTACAGCAGCTGGAAGTTTGACCATAGCCATTTTAATATTAGCTGGTTTTGATTCAGCAATAGCTTTAGCTCTCCAAAGCCCCAACAACAGAAATTACCCAAGTGTACCTGCTCCAGATGCAGATGTTACCTCTACTGAAACTCACAATGGATAACTTTAGCAAGGTTCTTCATAGAATGAAACTTGTACCACAAACTATAATTTAAGGGTTTGTATATAGCAGATTTAAAAAAAAAAAAAAAAAAAAGGAAACAATTAAAGTACAGTATGAGATCAGGTCTCAGAAAAAAAACAAACAACCACTCCCCCCTTCAGCTCACTTAAGTGTTTGTAAGAGCCTCTCGTCCAACACACTAAAAATAAGACAACCAAGTTTAGCAGGACAGCAATGGGTGCACAATAGTATGGCAAAACCTTATCAAACTATTGTGAAATTTGCCAAGTTTACCTAACAAACTTGGTCTGAGCTGTTTTCTCTACAGAAAATAAGCCTGCCTGCTCAGCAAGATCTCAAAATGACTCGTATGATTTTCAATTAACAAAAATATGGCAGCTATAAATATATTGTGTAGCTGACCATCCTGAACTTTTTCAGGTACAAAGGGATCCCAGTTTATTCCTTCTACTTTTTCGTGATACTGTCGGTAGCTCATTATTTCCAATATTTACAGTAAGTTACAATATTGTAACAATATTTGTTACAAAACTAAAATCTAACTTATCCCAAATATATCACTCTGCAGCCTGCAACAGTGCACCCCAACTCACAGGTCTGTTGGCAGTTTATCAACAAACCTGACCTGCTGAACCAGGAAACCAACCTGCATTAAAAAATAATTTTCCAAACTGTGACTTCTGTGGAAGGCTGACAGTGGAGATTTCAGTTACTGACTGCACAAACCTGAGTTTCAAATTTAGAAGTCATATCACTTTTCTACACCATCTCATATTTCCTCTTTCAAATCTTTGCTTACACCATACAGCAGTTCGATACACGCAATAGATTTTAAAGGAAGAGATCTTTCAATTTTATTTGTCCTTTACGTAAAAATCAATACAGACTCCATATTCTTTCCTCATCGCCTCAAATTTTCCAAAAAGTTTATTTTCCATCTGAACAAGAGAAAATACATGGAAGGTTTCAGCAAGCCTGAAAACAAGAAGACACAGTGAAAACTCTGCAGCAGGAATAGCTGTGCTAGCATGGCCGCAGAGGAGTCCTATCTGTCTAGGTCACAGCCAACAAGATAAATTTCAAAACATTTCTAAGAGACATTCTGTACTACGGGCGTCCTTTAGCTTGTCTATTCAAGGAAATGTCCACTGACAATGTTCCAACTTGAAGTTACTGCTTCTTATATAACTATACATGCTGCACACACTCTTTTCGTGATTTACCAGTGGATCTCTTATCTGAAAACCCGCTCCATCAGCCAAACACGTGCTACACCATGGGACTGACCTGTGATCCCTGCCCAGACAACTAACCCCTGGCCAAGCACTGGGCTCCTGCAGCTATAGCTGAAAGGCAGAAATTCCAGACAAACCTCATAAAGCCTCACACTTTTATGCTCGATACATTGAATAAAACCAAATAAAGCCAAGCAACTGTGATAAATACAATATCCAGTTAACACATATTAAGGAGTTTAGAATTCATAAAGCTTCCTGTGGGAAGAGGTGCCATAAATAAAATGCATGCTAGTTCTCACTGCAAAGATTTCCAGCAGGCACTTCAAACCTTTAAGGCACTGAGCACCACACTCCAGGCAGAGCACCTGGACTTGTTCTTAGCACAAATTAACTGAATGATACTGAAAATGTGCATCACAGGATGAGCTGAGTAACTAAGCTGGAGTGTATGGGTTGGAGAGTTATCTAAAAGACAGTTATGTCTCTCTACCAAAGAAAATCCTTCCACTTTAGTACTAAAAAACTGGCAGAGCACAAAACTTAGTTCCTCAAGGAAACATTTATCATTTGAGTAAAGTCTTCAAAACTTCAGCTAGCTTTAAGTAAATAAGCAGATGGGAAGAAAAAAGAAAAAGTTAGGTAGTTTGATGCCATGTATTT